CGGGCGGGGTCTGGGCTGCCCGCCGCCGCGCTTTGGGGCTCCCCCGCGCCCCCTGCACAGACTGCCGGCCTGCCGGTCCGCGACGTGGCTCTGAGAAGGGAGAGGGGAGCCGCGGAGGGCGCCTTCCAGCCGAGCCTCCGCTGAGAGCGGCGCATGCTGCGCTTCGCTTTGGCGCTCGCTCCAGCCGCAGCAGCGCCGCCGCCGCCGTCGTCGCCCCCTCCGGCGCCCCCCGGCTCCCTCCTCGGTCCCCGCTTCGTCCCAATCATTTCAGGCTCCTTCTACTGGCTGCCTGGACTCGGCTCCCGACTCCTTCATGAATTGCGGACGACATGCCCGTTTCTTAGCCGGGGAACCTTCTTCTCGTCCCGCATGTTCAGGACCAAACGCTCGGTGCTCGTCCGAAGACTCTGGCGGAGCCGTGCGCCCGGCGGGGAGGGAGGCGCCGGCGATCTCGCGGAAGGCGCTGCGGACGGGCGGCCTCATGGGGCCGGCGGAGGCGGAGGCGGAGGAGGAAGCCGGATTTGCTGCATGGGCAAGTCGGGGAAGCTGGCCAAGGCGCACGCCGGGTCGGAGGCCGAACTGAAGGCGCTGACCCACTCGGTGCTGAAGCGGCTGAAGGAGAAGCACCTGGAAGTGCTGCTGCAGGCCGTGGAGTCCCGCGGAGGCACCCGGACCTCCTGCCTCCTGCTGCCCACCAAGGTGGACTCCAAGCTGGGCCAGCACTGGTACTCTCTCCCGCTGCTGCTGTGCAAGATCTTCCGATGGCCCGATCTCCGGCCTTGTTCGGAAGTCAAGCGGCTTTGTGGCTGTGAATCTTACGGGAAAACTCACCTGGACTTAGCCTGCTGCAACCCTTATCACCTGAGCAGACTCTGCGAGCTAGGTAGGTGCCGAGCAGCGGCCGGCGCTTGTCGACGCCCCCCTTTCCTACCCCAACAGCTCCCCCTACCCAAAGCGAGTCGGGCCCGCAGACCTCCGCTGCTGCTGAGGCCGGGGAGGGGGCGCTGCCTTGATTGGGAACTTCCTCTGGGTCCCGTTGGTGAAATGGGGATCTAACGTTAGGGAGTTCAGGGTGAACCGGGGTGAGATCGAGGATCCTGCCCTTAAACCTTGCACCTGTATCGCTTGCGAGGGAAGGGCGGCTTTGGGGTAAGAGGTTCCAGTTTGGGACAGGAGTTACTGTCTCAGCGAGGTCCCGTGTCTGCCCCGCCAGCCTCTCCTAGGGGGGAAATAGAAATTTTAAAAAAAATTCCCAGTGGAGGTTTTAATTTAGCTTTTTATATTCCAAGGGGAATTTTGCATGGGGGGGGGGAGAGGCAGAATTGGACAGCCCTGACTTTAGCTCCCATCTGAAAATTGGCTCCCATCTGGATGCTTTTGTGTGTGCCTTTAAAGTTTCTGCCTTAGCAGAGGTGAGACGAGGAGGAATGGATGAAGGCTGCAACTTTACGTCAGGGTTCTTTTCAGCAAAGAAATCAATGTTCCAGAATTTGACAGCAAATTATTTTTTAAATGGTGATGTAGCCAGGCGCCGCCGAGCTGTAGCATTTTGTGCAAAGAAGCCATGGTGCGTAATGAGAAAAAAAAAAATCTGAATGCTTTTTGGAAAACCCCTTCCAGGATTTTCTAGTTTTAATGTACAAATCTCTAGCCATCTTGCAAAAGCCATCCAACCCTTGCCTGGCTACTCCATCCTCAATCCCCACCGCCTACCTTGGGCCTCTTTGCCTCAAAAATATAAGAGAGAACACATAATTTCCAGGCCTGCAATCTTGTTTGCTTTTCTCCTGCTGCCAAGTTGCCTTTAGTTTCCACATTGGGTAAAGGGGGGGGGGAGAGGAGAAAGAGAATCTCCCACAGCATGACTGAAATGGCAAAGAGTTTTTTCTTTTTCTTTCTTTTTTTTTTGGTAATGGGGATTAAGTTCATGATCTGCAAGGGAGAGAGTTGCTTTGGAAGGGTTTAAACCACATTAGCTGACGGCCCTGCCCCCCTCCCCAAAAAGCTGAAGCCTTCAGCCCCCCTCCTCTTCCCTGCCGCCCCCCTCCTCCTGCAAAC